TTACCGCACRGTTACCGGACCTGGCCTGCACAGTTTTTGTGAASCAATGGGACACTAGAATTTGGTTACAGTAYGATTACGGTYACAGTACAGTACCGTCCGTTTMCCACTCATACGAAATCCGCTTTATTCATTGAATTGATTGACAATCACGAGTTTTGTATAGTAGTAACTACTGGCATGTTTTCTACAGGAAGAACACTGGCAGCCAATAGTACACGAGAACCTGACTACATTAATGGGTGAAATGGAAAGCTGTGGCATTAAAGGCTTTCAAAGCCACATTATTGGTAACTATCTTCTCCAGCTTCTTCTTTGAAACTAGTTTTACTTCACCTTCTTTTTCGCGATTTAAAAACATCACAAAAACATTGACCGTATATGGATACTTTTTGGTATAAAGGCACACTTTTTTAAAAAATATCCGTGTAAATGCGCCTTAGCCTGCTAGATAATGGGTCTTTTGCTCACACATTATGGTCTGCAACAATAAAAGGGGTGTTAGATGTCCAAAATTCAAAAATATAAATTCTTGTGTATWAAATCGCAGGCCATTGTACGGTTGTATTACTTTGTATGATTTACTATTTGAAAACATCCATGTTACAGCATGTTTTTTGCATTTGACGTTTCCTAGTGTAGAATTGAAAGCCATATCCTTTATTTCAACTTCTGGGCATCCTATATCACTCAAAACTCAATAGAATTCAAGATGGCTACCGTCCTGAGCCAGAGTGCTCGTCTCTTTCTCTGGAGTGAAAAAAATAGCCATTAGCTGCAACCGTCAAAAATACATTTTAATTACTATTTGTGTTTTTCTAGATGGTGGTCGTATTAATCTATATGTGTTTTTCTAGATTGTGGTCGTATTAATCTATATGTGTTTTTCTAGATGGTGGTCGTATTAATCTATATGTGTTTTTCTAGATTGTGGTCGTATTAATCTATATGTGTTTTTCTAGATTGTGGTCGTATTAATCTATATGTGTTTTTCTAGATTGTGGTCGTATTAATCTATATGACTTTTGTGTTTTTCTAGATGGTGGTCGTATTAATCTCAGTAGTGCTACTGTTGCTTTCACTAAAAGTATCGCTGGCTTTTTAGAAGATGGATTAAGAGTCAATACTCCAGAGGTAGTTTTAGAATTGATTATATCTCACATTGTTATTTTATTTATCCATAAAAATTACAGAGAATCGTTTACCACAAGGGATTTTTTTTCTGTCGAAATTTTGTGATTTCCTTATTTTGCACATTTTAATTTATTGCAAAATTTTCTCTTGCTCTCTTTTTGATGTGACAGTTTCTCTTGGAAACTGGGTTTTCCTCAAAAGCTTCATAGTCGCTCCATAGTTCCTATTTGCTTTTCGGAATGACCAGTATCCAAAGGCAACTATGGCAGTATAAAGTCCTGGTTTTAACTAATCTTTTGATTACTTGAACAACATATTACCAAGCTTCAAGCACGGAAAAAACGTTGGAAAACCATAGTAAAATAGTTGCGAGAATTGACTTCTGAGATTTGAAGTCACCTACTTGATTTGTAATGCTTTGCGGGATTAGTTTCTGTAGAAAACAAAGGAAACTGCCATGTTTTGTCCCAGACATATCCCACAATGCATCGCATATAAAGTATATGACGTAAACAATGCGCTTAAGAACTAGGGAACTCTCTATTGTTCTGCGGCATTGCAACTTCTCCACAGTCATACGAATGTCTTGGTTTTCACACTGATTATGTATCAACCTGTGGGTAACACATTTTTGAAATAAAATGTGGATAAACTCTATTTTGAAACAAAGTTTCTTTTGTATTAAATGCTCTTATCCAATCATAAGCACTCAAAACAATAGCCAAAAGATGCTTCTAATTTGCTATGTTCCCCACATAGAATTGCCKTAATATTRAAGCTAAAGAAAGCTTTCGTGAAGTCGGAATCAGATATTAGATAAAATATTAGAAAATGCGCTAACTTGTGAAATTATAGCAGATTTTCATGTTTTAACCAATGGGATGGATGGATTATACAATACACAATTAGCACCTTCTTGCATTCCTTTGCCGTTTGCTTCCCCCGGCCATTACTTAACGGTCTCTTGAGAATTGATGCCTAATTACACTCTTACGATAATGTATCACATTGTAAATACTATGTTTGTATTTTAGTTACATGGAGTACTCGTGGATTGTGTTGCCGATCTGTTCAAGAATCAAGTTGTTCAATTTGAAGCCACTTTAAAGTCTTCCCACTTTTCTCAGCAGGTATGTGAATCATATATCAAATCTCATGGTAGCGGACTAGGGAGTGCCCGCTGTACAGGCATGTGAATGTGTACATTCAAGGCTTTCGTGAAAACAGAGAAGCTTTATCCACTGCACAGCACTTTATTCAAAACCTCATGCTTATCTTAAGAAATTTCTTTTCAGTGTTTAAAGAACTTTAGAAAATTTTCAAAGTTTTCAGTTTTTCGTAATATGGACATGTACAACCATATATACATGGAAATCGTACAACAGATTCTTCTCCGCTACACATAGAGTTAGGGAAATATTTGCACCAGATATCATTGTACTTTTTGGAACTAGGAAAATAGTACAGCGACGCCATTTTGAGCAGCAAAGCATGATGGTAGTTGTAGTCCTCGTACTTTTTTATGTCCGCTACAACAGTCTTCCTTAGTAGTTTTTGTTTTTTTCTAAGCAAAAATAGAAGAATGTATACTGTTTCTACTAAGAAAATGTAAAAACGGCTCGAAGGGAAATATTTTAAGTCTCTAATAGAGTCAATTTCRTATGAGTGGGAAACGTACGGTAGAAATACTCCGATTTCGAGTTCTGGTTTGCTCTGTGTTAGCCTCAGAACGAAGTAACATATTGTTTTGTTTTATTGATAGCCCGAGAAAACGCATGGAGTTTGAAAAGAAAGACAATAGAATTGATTTGAAATCTCACACTTTCATTCTCACAATTAGGAATATTTTGCGCACAAATGAGGCTAACACAGAGCATTGGAGAATTCGAAACTGGATTATTACCGCACGGTTACCGCACAGTTACCGGACCTGGCCTTCACAATCTTTGTGAACCAATAAGACACTAGAATTTGGTTACAGTACCATTACGGACACAGTACAGTACTGTCCGTTTCCCACTCATACGAAATTGACTCTAAGTATGAGTACTACAACTACCATCATGCTTTTCGGCGCAAAATGGCGTCACTGCCAATATGCCTATTAAATGACTATGAGTATATTAAAAGTTTAATGTTGTTGTTGTTTTTTATTCCAGAGGCCCTTTATATTAAAAAACGCGTCTTTCGTGTTAGAGACTGTCCTGCCAATTGTAAAAAAGAAATTAAAGGTAACAAACATCAATATAATAAACCTTTGAAGCTTTTACGTTATATAGACAATGCATTGTAGGATATGTTTGGAACAAAGCATGGCGGATTTCTTTTGTTTTCTCCAGAAACTGATCCCACAATGCATTGTGAATTAATTAGGTGACGTAAAAGCGTCGGAAGTCTTTTGAGAAAGTGTCGATTGATAATAATGTAAAACCGCTCTTTTTGCAGCGACAAACTGGACACGACCCTGCACGAATTGCAGAATTGGAACAAGAACTGCCAAGATTAAAGAGCTTGTCATACAAATGATGCAAAAACTAAAGAAATCGCTTTTGCAGCTCATAACAATTTCAAAAAATGAAAAAATAATAATAAATTGAATAAGATTATAGGCGCGACAAATACTGAATTCGGTCGTTGAACAACCGACAACAAAAATTTGTTTTTCACGCCGCATATCACACGTGACGAATTATATAAAAAGACTAAAAAGAGCATAGGCAACCCAACTACTGCTCAAGAGAAGAAAAGAACGAGCTGCGCACGCGTTTAATTTGTTTAGATTTATATATAATACCTGCAGTATTACGTTACGATCCCGTGCCTCGAGGAATACAAACAAGAGACTTGTTTGTATCCCACGAGGCACGGGATCGCGATGTGATACCACCGCATTTTACCAAGWSCGCGCGTCGATAAATAAATTAAAAGCGTGTTCTTTTCTTCTCTCAAGAAAYAGTTGGGCAGCCTATGAAAAGAGCACACGAACGTGTCACTCAAGTCTTGAAAGAACGAGAGAAGTAAACCAAGAAGACATTTTGCACATTTTTCGCTCTAATCTCTGATCCCGTGTTTAATGACTTWCATGAGTAGGTCTTTATGTGAAAATTTATTAGTGATAAATTACTGGATTCGATTTGCTTAAATATTTACAAATTATTACTACAAAATTTTAACATCATTTATCCAAAATAAAGTAAACTTGAAATTATTACGTTATTATTAATTAATTATTATTAGTTTCACGCCAAAAAGCGTGAAATAATTCCTTACTATCAACATCTAATAAGATTTAGTTATCAACTAACTAAGAATTCACTGGGGCATGAACACAATGCCAGAAAGGAAACTTGTCTTTGTTTATGCCTCACTAAATTCTTAGTTAGTTGATAGCTAAATCTTATTAGGCGTTAAATAGTTAGAGTGGTTCTCATTAACCCGTGAAATACACTTTTGCGTATTACACTTTATTACACTTTGTCTCTTTTGTTTTCTATCATATTTCTTGGCTATTACACTTTATAGCACTTTGACTGTTACACTTTGTTTCACGGATTAATGAGAACCACTCTAAGAATTGTTTCATGCTTATTTGGCGTGCACTCTATAATCCATCCATCCCAAATGGTTAAAACTTGAAAATCTGGTATAATTGCACAAGTTAGCGCATTTCCTAATATTTTATTTAATGTCTGTTTTCGCTTTCATGAAAACTTTCTTTGGCTTCAATATTAATGAAATTCTATGTGGGGAACATAGCAAATTAGACGCATCTTTTGGCTATTGTTTTGAGTGCTTATGATTGGGATAAGAGCTTTTAATACAAMAGAAACTTTGTTTCAAAATAGAGTTTATCCACGTTTTATTTCAAAAATGTGTTACCCATACGTTGATRCTTAATCAGTGTGAAAACTAAGACATTCGTACRTGGGGAAGTTGCAATGCCGCAGAACAATAGAGAGTTCCCTAGTTCTTAAGCGCATTGTTACTTAACGCTGTTCAGTTGCAAAGACGTGAAAACAACAACAACAAAGTCATTTCCATCTATCATACCTGGGATTGGAAAACATTTTATCCAATTGAATTTGTTGTTGTCTTTATGTCTTACAAGTGAACAACGTTAACGAGATTGACTATATCCACTCATATTAACAATGAATTAACTCTTCATTGTWAGGAGGCCAAGCTAAACCTGTAATATTTTTGACAATATCGAAACTTACAAGCAATGATTGTATTTAATTATCATATTCAGCATGTTTTTATATTCTATTTCTTCCCAGATACATTGTATAAACTGTATTCCACGTAGGGCTTGAATTACAMGGTTTAGGTTCCCATGTATATGGAGCTCCACCCATTTTCCTCCAATCAAAATATGTCCCAAGCTGACAGACTTCATGAAAAGGTTGAATAGAGGGAACCCAATGATTGTCAAACGTTTCTTTTTTAACGATATCCCAGTACAGAAGATTTTCATGTAAATAGCTGCCATGTAGGCCTAAATATGTGTTGCAAATCTCTTTATTCGCCTTGAATTGTGCGTTATGCGCGGTAACTTCGTGAACAACGCGAGGATCGTGAAAGCGGGTGACGTCAGTTCGATTATTCATCCATAATGCAACAGTTTGGTCTCCATAGGGATGRCATAATAAAGAGTCTTTGTTTTTAACGAACTCTTTGACCAAATCAGAGGATAGAATCAGGAAGCCTTCATCCATTCGGACTTGCCCTTCAGTATAGCAGTGTACATGACCCCAACACAACCTGACAACAAACAATTCCATCGTATCTATAACTGATATAAAACGTGTTGTCTCGAACGGCTAGAAATTGGTATTCGACTGGTTCAATGTAATATTATGCAACATTGAACATATATATTGTTATTAATGCACTACAGTAGTTTTTAAAACGGAGTGTCTAAACGTCGGGTTAAAAAAATACATACCGAACAGTATTATTCCGGTCTTTATTTCATTTCCCTTGTTGTATTAATTGAAATTACAGTTGTTCCGACGATTTTTCACAAAAAAAATCGACTGCCTGGCATTTAGTTCTGGGACTAAACGTCCAGTCAGGGTCCCGGTCAGGGTGCCAGTTAGGGTGCCTGTCAGTCAGGGTGCCTGATATTTAGACACTCCGATTTTCACATACGAGAATCGACATTTGATTTTTTTTTCAACCAATCAGAACGCAGTTTTCAACAATATATATCTTGAATTTCTAGCCATATAGACTCTACATAACAAATATTCAATTTTTGTRTAGCAAATACTCTTCGGCTGTTTTCATATCGGAGCTTCCATGYAAGGTGTTGTTTTCACAAAAGCAATACCAAAACAACACGCACAATTTTTTAAATGCGATAGTTTTTTTCCACACATACACTTATTTTACCACTTACTTTGGGACGTGTGCCCTGTACGGGATCTCAGCCAGTAATTTTCTGAGGCATAGAAAATAATCATCRTCRATTCTCAAAAAGAAATCAAAATCATAATTGGACACGGACCATTGAAGCAGCCATATCATCCTAAGACCAAAGTTTATTCCTCCTGGTACWGACATGAAYTCAATGTCTCCATGTCTGAGACTTTCTTCCWTCAAAGCTCGCTTTACAGTGGGATTCATTTGAACAAGACTGTCCGTGAAGAACCGACAAAGGACGTCAATACGACTACAATCATTCATCCAAGTCATGCGGATTCCTTTTCGTCGATCCACGCGATTTGGCGCCGATAATATTGCCACGATAAGTTTTAATTTCGGGATTTGACCTCTGTGAAAGTYTTCCCTATGCGGCTTAGATTGAGAAGGTCCTGTTTTCGTTTTGTGCTGGTTTGAAGGCAGAGGGTAAAACGATACACCCCAATCATACGTCATCGAAATAAACAGGAAAATTGTTTGTACCAAGAAAGTTAAAACGAATAAAGATAAAAGTACTTTTCCCATTGCTTCAAGATGCTGTTGTATATGATGTTTTATCGTTAAAGCGCCATTCTAAATCAAACGCTCGCTGGTCTTTGCTGGTTGTTTATTTTTCTTWTGGTCTGGTGGACTTTCTGCCTTTGTCAACAGTCTTTTGTTAAAACTTCAATTTCTTGTGGCTACCTGCTTATATTATCTCTTTATTGTTATAGAAAACGGCGATTAGCCATCCATCGCTTGTTTTATGTTAAAACCAACAATTCCCGAAAATCTCGTAATACCAAAAAATAGTCAATGGCCTTTTTGAAAGGAAATAAAAACGACTGAAAACCCAAACTTGTGCAATGACATCTGATCATTTTGAAAAAAAGACTTGTCTTGAATGGAATTTCATTTTTATTGTACACAGTTTAAAGGTTGTAAATTTGATGTAAATATGTTGTAAGTTTCCAAAGTGWTGTAAATGTAATGTAAATTTTAAAAGAATTAAATCAAATTTACATCATTTTGAACACTTAGATCATATTTACATCAAATGTACAAGCTTTAAAGTGTGCGATTTTTTCCAGTGTTATTGGGACGAAATTCACTGATAAGTTTACGAGCATCGGCGTCCGTCTTGGTAGAAACTACTAAATATGGGGATTGAAGTGATTTCCCTCATGACTTACAGACTTCAAGTGGCTGGAGTCAATTCCTCTCAGTGGATTTTTAGAGTTTTGCGACTAGTTATAAATTTTCCCATACTCATTAATTATTCATGAGGTATCTAGCCAATCCCTGATTGTAATTTGTACCACGTGCAGTAACTGGATACCAGAGGAAGTACTCCTGCCTTGTATTCTATCTTATTTCCAGTTACTTCCACCTTGTTTCTAGTTACTTCTATCTTATTTGCAGTTACTCTTACATTCTTTGGTTTCATTTTTATTGAGATTTATAAAATACACACACAGCAATATTATAAGTAAGATGCATAAAAGACAAATTATTAGATTCTTTAGTAGGCTATACTTAGAACATTGAACAAATTTCAAACAATTTGGTTAAAACGTTCGTAAAGAAATACGGAATCGGTGATAGTTGCGATATATACGTCCAGAAGAAACCTCAGCTTTGGAAGACTATATAATAATAATAATGATAATAATAATAATAATAATAATAATAATAATAATAATAATAATAATAATAATAATAATAATAATGATGCACTGTATCCCCGACAAATAATAATAATAATGATGCACTGTATCCCCGACAAAATTTCTAAATTTATAACCTCCACAATGAGACGCTGGTCAATCACACTTCAAGTACAAACATCAGAGGGCAAAGAAAACATAGGGCCTATCAAGCTAAACCAAGGAATTTTACAGGGGGACTCATTCTGCGTTAGACTATTCACTATCTACCTGAACCCTATAGCTTGGTTCCTACGCAGCACGGAGGGGTACAAGATGTCACAAAGCACAAGAGAAAAAATCAYGCACTTGTTATATGTCGACGACCTTAAAACTTTCCACAAATCTCCGAGTAAAGCAATGATGATCACCAGAACAATAAAGAACATGTTTGAAGATATAGGCCTATACTGGGGACTAGATAAATGTGCCTCCGTTAACATTCAACGAGGAAAGATCAGCCCCTCTTCCAATATTAACTTGAGTGCGACCGAGGAACTGAAGACGCTGGACGAAACGGATCACTACAAATTCCTGGGAAAGTATGAAAACTCAACCCAATTAGAGCAGCAAGTGTATGCCAGTGTAAGTAAAGAATACATCCAAAGACTCTCTGTCATTTGGACAAGCACCATCTCTATACCAAGGAAAATTAGAGCTACCAACACATTTGCACTACCTCTAATGCAATACCATATGTGGACAGCCAACTGGCTAATTAACGATCTGAAAGAACTCGACAGACAAACCAGAGAAGTAATACGTAAGACCGGAGCTATAAACATTGGTGAATCCGTAAAACTTTTGTACTTGCCAGAAAAACTTGGAGGAANTTTCCAACACATATAGGTCGCAATGTGGTAATCGAATTCTTCATAAAATCTATCTGATATAGAACTGATTAATAARACACCAGTGCTTTATCGGGATTTATAAAATTTTTGATATATAACGCGCGCTCTGATTGGTTGACGACCGTGTTTATATCAGAGGACAGAGACACGGCTTACCGGCAAAATGTTCTTTTCGCTCGAAAAATTTTATAAAAGAAATATAAAACGGCCGCTTGTGTCTCTGTCCTCTGATATAAACACGGTGGGAGTTGAAAAACACTCGAGAAGCAAGAGAAACACTCGCTACGCTCGTGTTCCTAAGCTTGTTTCTCTCGTGTTTTCATCTGTTTCTCGGTGTTTGGATCCCCTGATGAAACACTCGCACTCGTTTTTGATCTATTACATAAAGGCCCATCATGTGACCCAATAGTTCGATACTCATTGGACTAATAGATCATGAATTATTAATGAGTTCTAGAAAAGAATTTCAAATCAGTTGGATTTTGTGWGRTGGTCGTGATTAGATTTCGCAAAATTACTATTGCGACTGTTAATATAAATGGACATATTTTCAGTTGGATAAATTTTGAAGGAAGTTATACACGATCTCAAAATTTGCGAGAGTTAAATAATATTTGAGGTATTAACTGTTGAGAACATAGGTCCTCGTCCATTATTTAGTATTTTAAGGGAATATTTAGTAGCAAACATTTAGAGCGCTATGAAAAAGTCGACGGTATATCGTGTATAAATTCATCCAAAAATCAAAGTTCACCATTTTTCAAAACATATAGAGCACAATATTCCTAGTAAGAAAAGGTAACTCTTCCTTTTGCAACAAAGAAAAGTGTGGCGGTCGAGTACAGATTTCGATATAATTGAGCAATTATAATCGGTTAACAACAAATTTCGCTAAAATCGCCAAGATTCCGACAAAATATTCCTGTCAATATAAGGCTTTGATGACATTAATAACACGATAATTTAACACTGTATAGCATATAGATTATTCACTATAGAAATTACAGGCTTACCTGATTCCTTCTTTGAAATATCAAGGGCGTTATTCTTGGCGTGCAAGTTACGTCATCGCCGCCATTTTGGATGAAGATCACAAAGCATTCCTCATTAGTTTCTCTTGTTCATTCATCCAACATGGCGGCGATAGCTTTATTCGTTATTTCTCAGGGGATTCTTGGTCACGTGGTTGCACACCAAGAATAGTGGATACCAGTCAACAAACCGCCATATTGCTCAATCACATTCTTTGTATGTCAGAACAAATAGCTTTTCAAGCACCCAATATCAACCATATATTCTCAAGTCATGTCCAGAGGAGGTCAATAAGCAACGAAAACTCCATTTTTTAGCAAAGGCGTGTATTTGTACAAAATATTGGGGCAAAATTTAAAAGGAAACTGACCGAAACAACCTCGATAAATATTAACTTGATACACCTGACTTCAGTGAACGAGCAACTGACGCATGCGCACACGAAACTCCGTTATGCTGATAAACACAAATACAATCTCGTACCCAGCGCCCTTGTCCCTCTTACTGCGCAWGCTCGACGAAAAACAAGAGCTCTGGAAATATCAAACACCGGACGTCAGAAACTGCCTATTTCACCCATGCGCAGTAGAAACCCGATCTAACGGCTTTATTTTTTACTGATTTTGCTCAAGAAAATCGCCTAAATGAAAACCTTCGAAGTCAGAAAAGGGATTTTTTTAGACCTTAGATGATAAATCTATCTTCTTCGAAGCTATTTTGATATCTATTATGATCAGATAGTAGCAGACAGTGACGGTTAGTGATTATCATGGCGTGACAGTTCGTCGCCTCGTTGTATTCCATTTTATTACTCTCAAATTCCTACTTCATAGACTTAATAAATGCTTTTAAAGGAAGAATTCAAGGTGAGGTAGCGAAATACAGAATGATTTGAGTGTTTTTCTCCGTGATATTTTCACTTCCGGCGGCAAGCTGTTTATTTTACGAGCCAATCAGAGAGCGAGAAATTTTCGAAATTTCCAGAGTCACTGTTTTTCGTCGAGCCTGTGAGCCTGCGAGTAAGAGGGACAGTGACGCTGGGTACGAGATTGACACAAATAATGTGTGTATTAAATTTGCCACGCATGGGAGATTTGTCCCATAAATCAACTGACGCGCCATTCCCCGTATCTTCGACTGTTTCAGTCGCAGATTGAACCGAACTCGAATTTTATTCTACTTCGAACTTGAATTGGCCGATAATAAAACGAAAAAGAGACCAGAAAGAATAACCCCATCACAGGGACGTCAACTCTCCCGGATTTGCCGGGAGACTCCCGGTTTAAGATCGAATCTCCCGGTCTCAAGATTTTAGCCCTAAATCTCCCGGATACGCACGATATTTTCATAGAATGATATTAATTATTATAAGTAATACCATGGAACGAGGGAAATTAGTGATTAAATTTCCCCGAAACCGAGGGAAAATTTGTGGAAGTCCCGAGGGCGCAGCCCGAGGGACTTTTACAAATTTTCCCGAGGTATCGGGGAAATTTAATCACTAATTTCACGAGTGACATGGTATTACTTTGTAATACTATTATCGGCGAGGAAGTAAGGAAACATCTTTGATATCATGTTCAGTTTTCTAGTCAAGGAAGCGTAAACAACGCCGCCAAAATGCATAACTAGCTCTTTAGCGTATTGTACACCTAGGACACCTAGGCTTGATAATGATGTAATCAAACAATAGTTTTCAAACACATTACTTTGTCTTCATTGTGTAATTGATTCAACATTTGTTCGTTAGTACTATTTCATGCACTTGTTTTGTAGTCCCTTAGGGCACCAAANCGCATGGGAGATTTGTCCCATAAATCAACTGACGCGCCATTCCCCGTATCTTCGACTGTTTCAGTCGCAGATTGAACCGAACTCGAATTTTATTCTACTTCGAACTTGAATTGGCCGATAATAAAACGAAAAAGAGACCAGAAAGAATAACCCCATCATGTTAGAGAGCACCATACAAAAGGCTTACTGACTAAGCTTCAAGTTACGGACATTCAAACCATGCCAAAATTACAAAGAAATGTATGGTGTCCAGCCAAAGCGTCCAGCCAAACATACATTCTTTGTAATTTTCGTAATTTTGTGAAAAATTCTAATTCCCAATTCTAATGACTTAAACTTGCTCAAACTTTAAAGTTTGGCTAATTTRTAAGTGCTTTGTCTGTCGACAACAGATTTCTGTAAGATTGTATCACTTTTAAAATTTTCAGTCCCAGGCCCCTGCTCGTTTTGTTATCGGCCAATACTCCAGTTTCGAATTCCCTAATGCTCTGTGTTAGCCTGATTTCTGCGCAAAATATTCTTKTTTGTGAGTGTAAAGGTGTGAGATTTCAAATCAAATTTATTGTCTTTCTTCACATAATTCCATGCATTTTCTCGGGCTATCAATGAAACAAAASAATTTGTTACTTGGTTTTGAGGCTAACACAGAGCAAACCAGAACTCGAAATTGGAGTATTGATTTGTATGCCGCACCTCACATGCGTTTAATTTGTGATTGTATTCGGTGCATGTGAACTTCGGGATAAAACGTTTGGCCTAACTAGAAAAAGTTCATGAATATGAATCTCATTGATGCATAATAGCACTAATCTCAGATCTGGAGTGCTTCATGTGATAAAATTCTTTATTGTTTATTGGCTGCTACTCTATTTAACAAGCTTAGTGGAAAACAGTCCAACGATTTCTTACAATTGGGATCAGAGCAAAACACAAGCACATTACAAAAATAATAATACTTCTCTTACATAGTTAACATTAACATCAACGTTTTCTTACAGAGACAATTGGGATTGGAACAAAAATAATGAATAAGTGCAAAAATTACTTCTTAACTACATATAACTAGTAGGTGTAGCTCGTGTACGTTTCCGGTCAGTGGTCGTTCTGGGGTTGATTCAAAAGCTGTGGACTTTTTAAGTCGTCGAAAGTTTTAACGCCCGTAGTATTTGCAATACCTAATATGACGACAGAATTTTTTCCATCTGCAAATACGCCCTTTGGGATACCTTTGGCAAAACCTTCTCCTAGGATAGTGGCAAACACGTACTTTTCGGTAATAATAGCCAAATTTCTTCTTGATATAGCGGCACACTACAGCCTTATATGTCCAAGTACAACGTACGCCGTACCTCACTCTACAACTTTGACGCCTGTAGCAACGTTTTCGGAGTCCATAACGACGACATCGACGTGGCCGGCAAACTGTTATAACCTTACATTGACGAACTTTATGGGGATCTTAAGATCAAACAAAAGAGGATGAGTTAGTGCATTATTTAGTTTATGTAAAGCCAGAATGTCAGAGCGCTTGCCGCTCTAATTATTTATCCATGCACTCTGCAGGTACCCTTCCTTTTCATGGAATCCGTTTCTTGATTGCTTCAAACTCATTTGAATTTATTGTGATTTGCTAGGCACAAGTCCCCTTGAATTTCGGAATGGTCAGTGTGGCTGTTAAAGTTCTTACATGTTCTTGATATCTTTACGCCTAATACGAATTCTTACGATTCTAGAACGAATAAACAAGGTGACCTTGGAACTCATATATATGGAAAACCTTTATCAAGCAAAAACCAGGAAAACACCAGCTGCAAGAATACTCCAGTTTCGAATTCTCTTTTGTGCAAGTTAAGATTGAATCAAGCATAAATTTGTATCTTCCGTGTACACGGAATTGCATTACAATAGAATCTTTAGCTGCTGCAAAAGAATATGTTACATGCTTTCGAGGTTAATGCTATACAAATAAGATCTTGAAACTGGAGATAGATGAAGCATAAACCGAGTGGATTCATTTTTAGTTAATAATTGATYAAGAAATGAAGGTCAAGGCTTGTAAAACCATCATCAGGATAATTCAWAGTCCAGTCCCGTACACATTCCAGACCGATCCGTTGACCTGTTGGTCGCGTTAAAAAGGGTCCATAAGAACATTCGTGGGCATGCGTTATATCACACTACATGTATGCACCGATGTGTCTAATTAACAATTAGACCTCGAGGTCGAGTGGACTACGAGCTAATAGCCCATGAGGCCGAGTCCGCGAGACCGAATGGGCTATTAGCTCGTAGTCCACGAGGCCGAGAGGTCTAATTGTTTTAGTAGAGTAGCCAATCACAGCGAAGTATGAGTGATAGACYATTAGAATGTTTATACTAAAGGTTCATATTCAATGAAGCATGCAGCTAATTATGCACTCTTATGCAACATCAAAATATATATCTGATCAAAGTTTCAGCTATTTTACATGTAAAACAGCACAACAACGTCTTATATATATACTGACTGACCAGGCCGAAAGAGAATCCCATTTTTACCACAAAAAATTGTAGTTTTACTAGTACTGTGTTTTGCAAGCTTAAAGAACAACTGAAACCTCATTTCAAACTAAACCAAAACAATTTATTTCAATAAATCGTACATACATACTTTTTTCGCCTTTGTCTGCCCAGTCAGGAATTAAATTYCTAATGACAGAAAAGTCAGGAAAGTCCATTTTTTTCTTTATAGTATCAAAGTTAATCGCGAGCAAAGTAGTGACAGTAGTGGTATGTACTTTTATTTATCACGGCTCTTCAAMCAATCAGAAAGCGAGAAAATGTCATATATGGTAAAAAAAGAGATATATGACTCGGGTTTGAAATAAACTATAAAACCATTTCGTTCGAACAAGGCGTGCACTCGGGCATGCGAATCACCAACTCTTATTAGCATAATAATACCCAGGGAGAAATATTACACTATATGTTCCACGAATTACGAGAAGGCCCGTAATATTTTCCTTGAATTCTAACTAATGCATGGTCCTGTGATCAATATCTTTAAGAGAATTCACAATTCCACGAAGTYACTAAGTTATCTCACCGTTTTGTTCATCAGGGTCTTGTTCGTTCTCTGCCAACTCTGTCTCGGGCTTATCTGTATCATAAATATGTTTGATAGTGAACAACTTGATTTAGTGACAGGTAAATTATTACAAACAATGTATCAAGGCGACTAAAAAGCTACAAATAACTTTAAACTTTGAAAAATTGTTGTAATTGAAAATTTCTGTTTATGACACTCATTCGTTCACTATATTATAATGGGGTGCTTGGACGAAAATTGCGAAACATTAGAAAAGATTGAAAATCAAATKGAACTATCCATATGCAAATGCAGGGTAAAATAATCATCAAGCAACAAATTTAGTTTCAAGACGATATTGATGCAAATCCTTAATAATTTGGGCAAAAAATGTTTGAGTAGATGATGTCATCCTTTTGTTCTTCATCTTTTTGATCAAAATTTCTGATGTGGGACAATTCCAAAACAAATGTTTTCCCGCAATTGTTTTAATAGATATAGATGAGTCGTATATTTGTATTGCTTGAAGTTTTGAAGGGCATTTTCATGCAAGTAGCACTTTGAGCAAGGTCTCCATATCCCAAAGAGAATACAAATACTTTGACGTTCAGTTAACAAAGGAGGAATATAAAGGTTGAAGATAAATGATATGACAACATTTTAACTCAAAAGTTTTTGYAAGTAAGAACGAGGACTAAACAGTAATTAAACCAACCTTCATCCTCTTCATTTTCGTCACCTTCGTCTGCGTCGTCCTCGCTTTCTTGRTCATCATCTTTCTTGGCTTCTTCGTCTGCATCAAATATTTTAGATGATAGAGACTATTGGAATGTATACTGAACACAAAACTGCACCATCTCAGACAATAGTTCATTTTTTKAATTTCTTATTTATCAGACATTTATTATTTACGCAGAAGACTGAGCTCAATCTTTATATTTGACTATAAGAAAKGGCTGGCCGTTTGCTATCAATTCATGAAAACGATCATTATTCTGAAATTTAAGTTTTGAAAACTAAATTAAAGATTGTTTTTAATTAAGAAAAGGTGCTATCATTGCTACCTTGAACGGCATCTGGATTTTCTTTCTCTTSSTCAGCTACTGGCTCATCTTGAGTCTCTTCCAGTGGAGCAGCAGAAATGAAGGCAACAAAACCAAAGAGAAACAGCAATGTCAAAGTGAGCTTCATGATTGCAACTCAAGCTGTTGTASGTAGTCGTGTTTAATTTCTTCAGCTCAGCCACCCATCTTTTTATGTGCTCCACTCTAAGGTTGTGCTGTGTTCMCTGACCGTTGCTATGGACGTCACGTGGCCAACCAGGCATTCAGTGACGTTGCATAAAGCTGTTTTTACTTTTATAAAGTTGTTTAGAAMACCTACTAGTCGAATAACCTCGACAACAGACATCTGCATTATTTAGTATATTTTAACAAATCAGTATCGATTGAAGTAAGATCGAAATACGAGAATCATCAAACGGAAAATATTGCACTATAACAATCTATTTTTGATAAAATAGCACTTGACATTCCGATACTGRTCATCCATGAAAACGAGACAGAGTAAGAAGTACTTGCGACATAACAATTGTCTATAAATGATGATATAATTATGTGTCAAGGAGGTAAAAAAATTGAAAAGAACTAGTTTAATTRTTGAAAGATTTTTCTCAAATGCTCTTAATAACACTTAAATATTTGTACTGACATTTGAAAAAACAATAACCTTTCCATAATCCAAAAACTGAACATTATTGGAGCTCATTTACGTTTTGCAGCTAAATARCACTTGAAAGATCTATGTCAACAAGTCAAAAATACTACACGGCATTCACGTCACCGAACCAAGTACCCGTGATATCCAGGAAGAGGATTTGGAGTGGTGTAAGTGGTGCATTTACGYAAGGGATATGAAYACTGACCACTACATCAATATATTGGAATAATTAAAATTATCGAAAATGTTTTCAAAAAAGTGCTCAACATTGTCAAGGAGCATTGCATAAAGTAAAATTGTATTTCAAGACTAAAATGATTCATTATTTTATTGCTACAAGTTAATTTCGTATGGTCATCAGAATAACAATATTTTATGTATAATTATAGCATTATTTTAAATACTTTTTTGCACCGAGCGAAGCAGCTTTAATTATAAAATATACAGTTTGTAAGTATCGAGTAATTTGACATCATAAACGATGGACGTCTCGTGACGTTCTTACAGAAAATTGTCAGAARAGCGAGAGTTACTCCGAAAYAATCAAAGRCATGTGGAATAAAATCAAGCATGGCAAGTATAGAGTAAAAATTGTCCATGAATTCTAATGGACGTCGTTTTACCCCAGTTACAGAGGTTTTCTTTTCTTTTTTGGACGTTTTTCTCTTACATTTTACGACATCGGAAAAAAAGAAGAAACCATGGCAACATCCTTTCAATTGAAGGTCAAAATTTCTAGTCGGTTGACTTTCTAATATTGAATCATATATTGTAATGATAACATTAATCTCACATGACTCAATACAAAATTGGAATATTTTCATCACTAATTGAACTTARACCTTAAACAGTCTTTAAGTTCAAATGAAGATGAATAGATTTTAACTTTTTTACACCCGTTTACACCTGCGATTTTTGCAGAGCGATTCTCGCGGCGATCGTCGCTCAACCATCGCCTGAGTTTCGAACATGCTTGAAAATTGGCCGCAACTTAGCGGCGATTTTTAGTTACGCGGCATAAAAGTGGCAATAATCGAGCTGCAAAATTCGCAAGTGTAAACGGGCGTTAAGCATGGTACRCGGTTTCTGCAAGTGTATAAAAAGAGCGCCCTCGTTAAGATGGCATGTTCTAAATGTCCGAAAAATTGTTCATATTTTTAGTCCTCTATCTAAGGCAATATTGAAGTAATTATTGTCATGACGATCGTAACTCTGACGGTCGACAAATATCACGAAATAACGTTATAATCGGCGGGTACAAATAACTCATCRTAAATTAAATATTTTTGTAATTGACATTTTTTTTATTGACAGTATTTTATTTTTTACAATTTTTTTATTTTTTATTCCTATTTTGCAGTAACCTGTTTCGATTTATRAGCTTTTTTGACAATCAGGATATTGTCACTCGGTTGGTTTTCGATCAAAATCAAAACAAAAAAGRAACATAGAAATGAGACGTTGACATCAGGAGCGATTAAAAGTATATTTAAGTAAAATAGGAATTATTAGRAAAGTTTATATTTTTCATTATCGTCTTTTATTGCTTTTGATGCCATCTTGGAYTTGAAGTACTGCAATCAAAATGTCGACATTGACCCTCAGACATAGCGCTCCATCAATATTAAACAAGAGCAGGAATGGCTTTTACGCTCTGGTCCTTTTTTTTATAAAATTATCATTTGTTCGATGAAGTTCGGTTTCATTTTCTAGACTCGTGAAGACCGTTTGAAATTTCTCTGCCCTTGGCCTTTCGGTCCACGAAAAATTAAAGAGGAATAAAAAGTACTTTCTTTCATTAGTCAATGAATGAATCCGGAGCTTAGATAGTTTCAAGTGGAAACAGAAAGCCTTCCCGGCAGTGTGTACCGGAACCTATAGTACTCCTGGTGGAGGCTTTGGGTGTGTTTTGCTAATTCCGCGAATTTACTGAATCACGTTATCTGTACTCAAGCGCCCACTTGAAAATATTCAATTTTCCGCATAACATTTGACTTCTATCGTGAGATGAATTGGCATGTAAGGAGGGTGTTCAATATTATCAAACGAAGTAGAAAAGATAAAATTGCGCCAAGTAGTGTACCAGCACAGCTTATGCATATTTTAACTAATAAAAATGGTAATAATAGGAATCACTACTAAAAGATGACTGTCGACACACTTCCACCGTCAACACTTTAAGTCGATAGACTCAATCAATATGAATAATAYCAATACAACCTACATTAATACAAATTCAGTAGTTTATTTCTCTGAGTGTGTTTTTGAGAAATCGTCGGAACAAACGTAATTTCAATTAATAGAACAAGAGAAATGAAAAAAAGACCGAAATAATACTGCTCGAGTTTGTATACACAAGCACGGCACTTTGAGATTTTTYGATTTCCTGACGTTTTGACACTCCGTTTATTTATTAATTGAATTGAGATTTCAAAACTTCTTTTCGTTCTTCATCGTAAAAAGATGTTTTTGTRCCTTCTAAGAATGTCCACGAAAATTCCACAACGGTTCTTTCTAAGACCTTCTAATAGCTCTAAGGCAATYATCAGAAGCAATTATTGTCATCGTATCCCTGATGGTAAACATCGTGAACTGAYATTAAAACAGATATTCGMACAATTTCAAACTAATTTTGTATTTTATGCAAGCTGTTTCATTWAATTAAGCAAATTTATTTAATTAAATTTGAGCTAAAAAGGTAGAAAATGTCATCGACACATTGTCTGATTTTGAATGCTCTTAAAAAATCTCAGTGAATCCAATCTCTTAATGTATGTTCACAGCGCATAACCCTCGTCAAGGAGTACCGTGTATTCAATCTGCTTTCAATCTGAATATTGGACTGAGTGACGGCGTTCACTTRTACTTGACGTTAGACAGCTATTAACGCGGATCCTGATGCGTGCAATTTCTAAGCTTTTGGTTCACTAAAAACGATTTATTTTGTAGAATGTAAAATTTTTTCTTCTTGAAAATARTAAGACACAACTGTAGCAAATAGTAAAATAAAATTGCCAATCATCAAGTCTCATGGGATGGGGTGGTATTATTCTGTTTATAATTGTGAGTTGTACTACCGCCTAGMTCAGTAGGTAGAGCATCGGACTTTAGTGCGGGAGGTCGCAGGTTCAAATGATCGGCGCTATATAAATATCACATATTATTATATTATTATTATTACTACTACTGCTAAAACAAAGATTGTGAATTTGATGAAATAACTAAAGAGATACAGGAATAGTAAAAAATAACATTGTCTGACAGATTTCTACAATTCTTTGTTGTCTGTTTTTAATAATCCAGTTTCGAATTCTCCAATGCTCTGTGTTAGCCTCATCTGTGCGCAAAATATTCGTAATTGTGAAAATAAAAGTGTGAGATTTCATATCAATTCCATTGTGTTTCTTTTCAAATTATACATGCGTTTTCACAGGCTATCAATAAAACAAAAGAATATGTTACTTGGTTTTGAGGCTAACATAGAGCAAACCAGGACTCGAAATTGGAGTATTGCTTCGTTATGACGGTAGTGGTCGACCCATCATTGTTCATGATGTGAATCATTACGTATTTTTACTTTGATCGACAGAATATGATATATGTTTTTGGCAAAACTATTTATGTGATTCCTGTGTGTGTATATACACTATATTTCATGGGAGCGCAGGGCTACGGTTTTTAGCTAAGACTGTTGAAAAGATCTCTGATGAGTATTTTCACTAGTGAGAAATACAGATGTTGTAAGAAATACAGATGATTATAGGCTACTATAGAGAATATTTCATGGGAGCGCGGAGATACGGATTTTATCTTTGAGTGCTGAGAGATTTTCAACACGAGAAGATAAAATTCGTATCTCCAAACGACCATGTAATATTTTCTTTATGATATAATTACATATGAAAGCAAATTATGTCGTAAAGCACCTTTTTTCTTACTTCCACTATATAGTGAAACGTCGAATGTGTTATTTTCACTAGTGAAAATGTCAACTTTACGAAATTGAGAAATATAGGTATTTCATAGATACTTATTTGATAAAAAATATATCTCTACCTGGATATCAACATTGAAATAACAGAAATTGTCACTCATTTTTGCTAGCTACGTCAGTAATGGAATATGTAGAAGAACAATCGACACAAAAACATGATATACGTCCTTTCATATCGCAAACGTCAACACTTCAAGTACATTGTGTTGTATCAGTGACTGAGACCCATCAATATCAGATCACAAATAACATCGCAATCCCAAAATACAATACAAAATGGAATATTTCMATTACTAATTTAACACAATCTTTTACAAATCGAACGACTGAATTTTTATTAAAATATAAGAATTTTTACTAAAATATAAGGCATCTTTTTCACATTTGAATGTTTTGATAATCAGCATATGGAGACTCGGTTTTGGTATTCGTAGTATTCGCCTCAATATCGAACCAAGGAAAACATTTTGTTGAAATCAAGAACGATTAAAAAACATTATTTTGCTATTATCGCRTTTGTAGTCAAAA